TCATAAAATAAGACAAAATATTATAATTTTAATAATAATATAATCTTTTAAATAATATTATATTGAATGAAATAAAATTTATAATATTTGATTAAATATTATATTATTGAAATATTGTATTAAATATATTGTTTGTATTATATATCAATTATTATGTAATATATCATATTATTATAATATATTATACTATATTAATTAATAACATTAAATATAGTTATAATTAATTAGTAATTATAATATAATATATTATATTTTAGTATAAAGTGAAATAATGTATTATATTATAATAACATACTAAATAATATACTAAACCAATTAGGTAAATTAATTTAGACCTAATTGATAGATAAATATTATACTTTAATAAGATGTCACATCATCAATTATCCCACATAAATTGTCAAATCAAAGTTTTAAATTGTCCCATTATCCTAAATTGTTCAACTTTACACCACTCAAATTATTCCAAAAGGGGGTGTTAGTCACATAGAACTTAAATTTGGAACTGGGATAATCTGTGGGATAATTTTTTAAGGTGTTAGTCACATAGAATTAGGAAATAAGATATTTTTTTATAGTGTTAGTCAAGTAGAACTTTTGTAGAACTAGAATTGTATTATTTTTTTGGTGTGTTAGTCAAGTAGAATTCTACTTGAATTAGAATTGGGATAATTTATCATAATTATCCCACTAATTTTACTACCTATATATATAGCCATAAGTTCCCCTCTCAAAAATTATCCTACACATTGAAAAGAAACAATTGGGGAAAAAAGTGGAACTGCGCCGCATAATTTATCATAATTATCCCACTAATTTTACTACCTATATATATAGCTATAAGTTCCCCTCTAAAAAATTATCATACACATTGAAAAGAAACAATTGGGGGAAAAAGTGGAACTGCGCCGCCTCCCTCTCAAATTATTTCTCCGCCTCTTCTCTCTGATCCTCCCGTCCATGAGATCAGGTATGTAACTTCAGTGCTTTGGATTTTAATTTCAAACTTATTCATCCAATTGCGTGTCGTGATAAGTTCGTATGCTATGAATGGACTCATGGAAATTTCGCGTTGTCATGTTAATAGACAAAGATGAGATCACCTTTAACCTGCAGGCAATGTGATGCAATCATCTTCTTTTAACCTGCAGGCAATGTACAAGATTTTGAAGCCCTTTTTTATTTTTATTTTCCCGTGTTCACCATAGAGAATTTAAATGCTTGTTGTTGCTTGTATTAATGCTTACACGCGTATGTTTTATTAAAAAACTGATCTTGCATTAGATATAGAGGTGCCTGTACGCAAATGGTCAAAAGTTTATCCGTGGTATTCTTTGGTTTTGTTTATTTTTCTTCTCATATCTAAATGTAGAGAGTAAATAAATATAGCAGGTGGCTTTTATTCTTATTCGTGGATGCTCCGAAATACATGCTATTGAATCTAATAATTGGATCTAATAAGTGCCAATCAGCTATTTGAAAATAGTCAGAAGTTTTCATAAAACCGATTAATATTTCACCTGTTGATAGAATTCATAGGAAATTTTTGTGTTGATAGAAGTCATTGGAAATTTTGTTTTTGTTTATAGATAGTTCATGGTTCAACAAAGCAAATTATTTCGATTTTCAAAATTTTGAATCTGGATATAAATCCTAGAGTACCTAACTATATCACCAACTTTCCCCTCTTTTTTTAAAAAATTGTACTTATTTATCCTCCGTGATGATCTTGGTACTAACTAAATAAATACCTCACAAAATTATCAACCTACAAAGTGTCCTTACATCATGAATACTAGCTGTCTAGAAAAACTGTCTCACTTTAACCAAATTATGATCATGTTTATATTGTTGTTTGTGCAATTTCAAGCTCACTTTGCTCACCATCATGTTTAGTTTAGCATCACTAATATTTTAATCCAATTCCATATTTGAGATTTTGAAAAGTTTTTTTAAATTTGTTATAGGATGGACATAAGATCACAGAGTCAGGATCAAGAAGAAATATTTCGAGGTCTAGAAAGTGAGGGACAGAAAAGAGCAAGGAGGGATTATATGACATGGACTGAAGCAGAGGCTAACGAATTGCTTAGACTCTTAGTAGAGGAAGTTAAGAATGGAAATAAGCAAGCAAATGGCAGTTTTAAAAAGTATGTGATTCTGAAGAATGTGATACCCCCTCTAGTTGAAAATTTTGGAAAAGATTTTAGATATAATCATGTAATGAATAAGATAAAGCAATGGAAGAGAAAGATTGCACCTGTGGAGATCCTGATGAAAAATAACTCTGGTTTTGGTTGGGACCCTAGCACACAGAAATTTACATGTCCCGACGAAGTGTGGAATGACATTTTAGAGGTTGGTTTATGTCATGTTATTTCATATATATTAATTTAAACATAATATTAATTATTTTCATGTCATGTTTTAGGCACGTCCAAATACTCCAAATCTCAAGAATAAACTTTTCGAGAATTTTAATGATATACTGATGGTATGCGGAGATCATGGTGCTTCTGGCAGAGGAGCTATAGGTTTAGGTCCTGATGGCTTGGATGCAGCACGCTTAGAGGAAGTGGTTGGGGAGGGCATGCTTGGTGCTGATGCTGAGATGGAATCTCCGGATGGAGGAGATGCTACTGTAGATATGCAACATGTTACTACCCTTCCCAGTGATAATGTGCCATTTTCTGGTTCTGGACCACCCACTATGAATAATGGTAAACCAAAGCGTAGGTCAATTGGTACTGCAGCCACATCCTCTGCATCTTCTCAGTTATCGTTGCAAGAGGTAGGAGAGGGAGTTGTCACTGTAGGTAAAGCTTTTCATGAGTTAGTTGATGAGTTGAGGAAGATAAGAAAAGGTCGGAATAAAGAATGGGTTGATGCTGTTATGTCTACTTCTGAATTGACTAAGCCACAAAAATGGAATATACTCAGTGACAATATCTCACAGGACATGAAGGATGCCTTTATTGACATGGATGCAAAAGACCGCTATGAGTTTCTACATTTTAGGTTGACCGGTGTGATAATGAATGATGGTAAGGATGAGACTCAAGCCAATTCTGATCCAAATGGTGAAGATTATGATTCTGATTTCTTTGGAGATGTTTAGAGGCAGTAATTTAGAAGTTTAGGATATTTATATGTTTTTTAAGATTTGTTATGGTGTTAGGATTGTGTGGAATTTCATATTGTCAAACTATTTTTCATTGAGTAGGTGGAACTTGGGATAATGTCATTTTTTTATTGATTGCTACTTGATGTAGAGAGAACGAACAACCACCAATTTTTACTAATATTTCACTAATACATGTTCATTTACAGTCATTTTTTTTTGATAAAATGAACTATACACATTTAATATATTATCAGTCCCATTGTGTGCTAATAATAGAGTGCTTTATTTATTTCCTATGCACATAAGTTTCATGTAAATTGATTATATTTCATTGGTTATATTATTTAATAGGATGGAGGAAGATCAAAATTTGCCCATTTTATATTTTCATCATGAAGACTTCGATGATAATCTTTTCATTCGCATAATCGAATTAGCTGCTGAGGCTGCAGATCTGATCACAAAGATATCAGGACTTCTATCACAGGGGTTCATAGCAAATACGCTTAATTTTCGAAGTCCTCGACGTGGTATTACAGATCTTGGTCTCACATACTTACAGTCCAAGATGGATAATCATCCTCAAGATTTTCGTAGAATTTACCGAACGTACCCAGATTGCTTCATGAAGTTATGCAATATCTTGAGAGAGCGGGGCCATATACAAGACACATACCACATTAGTGTTGAGGAGATGATTACTATTTTTCTTCTCACGATTAGTCAAAATCAACGATACTCTGTTGTAACTGATCGATTTGATCGATCAAAATGGACCATCAATGTATGTTTCAATAAAGCATTACAGACTTTGGTATCTTTAGCATCATGCTTGATGGCATCACCCCCTACTGATCCACCTGATAAGGTTAAATCAGAATCTCGCTTTTGGCCTTATTTCAAGGTAATTATTATTGCTTTAGAATTTACACACACGCAGACACACACACGTGCACACATGCGTGCGCGACCACACACATATCACTTGAGATGGTCTGACACATTGATTATTCAGGACTGTATCGGTGCAATAGATGGGACTCATATACCGTGCATGGTGTATAACATAGATCAGACGCCCTATCGAAATAGACATGGTTTTCTCTCTCAGAACGTCTTGGCAGCTTGCACATTTGATCTCAAATTTATTTATGTCTTAGCTGGGTGGGAGGGTTCTGCTAATGACGCAAGAGTATTGAAGGATGCAATGAGTAGACCTTATGGACTTCCACTTCCACAGAGTAATAATCTTTACATAGTATTCCATCAATTAAAGAATATTTTTTAGTTTTACAATTTTTTTCTCATTCATATTTATATTCTTGTTTGCAGATAAATTTTATCTAGTTGACTGCGGCTATCCAAATAGGCTACAATTTCTTGCTCATTTATTTGCTGATTTGGTTTCAGCGATCATGATGAGATTGGTCCAAAGGGTTAATGGCTGAAAAATGCTTATTTTTCTTTCTTTATGATGTTATGAGATTTGAACTTCGACATTTATGATCCTCCACTAGAAGCTGCGCGAAATGTTGCTGATACAGACGATGACTCCGATAAAGAAGACGAGTTACAGACTCAACGAGCAGCTGTAGGAGCTTGGAGAAATTCTATGGCAGATGCCATGTGGGATGATAAAAGCCATGTGGGATGATGGAAGTCGAGTCACTCTAGGGATTTAGATTTTTATTTATTTGTAAATTATTTTATTATTTGAGATGAATAGTGATGCTTTATTGCATTATATTTTATAGTTATTACTAGAATTTGCTTATCAATATTATATTATTTTTAATATACAATTATTAACAATAGTAATTTATACCCACCATTACCCCTACCAAATTATCCTACCAAATTATGCAACTTCATAATATTATCCACCATTATCCCACCAAATTATCCTACCAAATTATCCCACTTCAAGAATTATCCATTATTGTTCCACTAAATTATCCCAGTGTTAAAAAATTATCCCACTTTACCAATTATCCTAGTTCTACTTAAAAAGTTCTAGGTGACTAACCCCCCCAAAGGATAAAATTGTTCCATAAAATTGTTCCATTGGAACAATTATCCCACTTAGCCCCAACTTGTCCCAACCAATAACCCTTCCTAAGGGCTTTTCAGATTTCATCCTTTGCCAATCAACTACTGCTTTGATTAAAACTCGCGAACATTCGCTACTTTTTTCTCTCTCTTTTGACAAATAAAACCTATTTATCGTTTCATTGTAGAGACACGCACGTTACTGCAAGATAGTTCTTCACTGTAGAAATAATCCCATAAATCAATTCAAATGCAAAACTAATTGATCAAATAACAAAGTTCTATATATGGAGATAGCACCACATGTCTTCCCCATAAAGAGAACAACACCCCTCTCAAAAACTCCGGACTTCCCAAGGCTCCTCCCAAAGCAGGCATCGCCTCCGTTTGTTCTCTTCTCTGAAGTACCCGCCAAAAAACAATACTAAAAACACTTCTCCACCTCATTCTCCCCTCTCTTTGTCCTTCTCTCTCTCTATTCTCAAACAAGAAAAAAGAAAAAAAGAAAAAAGGAAAAAAAAAAAACATGGGCATCCCCAAAACACCACAAGTTCCTTCATCTCCAAAGAAGAAGAAATCAACAACCCTAGATTACCTCTTCAAGCTCGAAGCCTCACAGGAATCCCCTACCGATGATCTCCTCTCTTTAATCTCCAACTGCAACACACTCTTCACGTTCAGAAACCCTTCAGAGTCTCCTTCACTCCAAGACCTAAAGCGCCATAGCCTCCTCCACATCCTCTCCATCCTGCGAACCTCCAAATCGCGAATCAACCCTCTCATCCTCTCTCCCCTCTTCTCAATGATTTCAACCAATCTTTTCCGCTCACTTCCCGCAACTGGCTTCCCTTTCCTCTCCTCTGAGTACTCCTTCGATGATGATGCGCCTCCAATGGTTCTCTCTCCTTTATGGCCACATTTACATATTATATACGATATCCTCTCTGTTTTAATCGCAAATATTGATCCTATATCCCTTCAATCGCATATCGACAACCCTTTTCTTCTCAATTTACTTACACTATTCCAATCCGAGGATCCTAGAGAACGTGATCGATTGAAGAACATATACCACCAATTATACTCCAAAATGACCAACAAAAGATTGTTCATGAGACGATCAATGAGCAATACATTTCTACACTTTGTGTTTGAGGCAGACCGACATTGTGGAATTGGAGAACTGTTAGAGATATGTGGGAGTATAATTAATGGGTTTACAACCCCATTGAAGGAAGAACATAAGGTTTTCTTGATGAGGGTTTTGATCCCGCTGCATAAACAAAAGGGGATGTGTATGTATTATAGGGAGTTGTCTTATTGTGTAACGGAGTTTGTGCAGAAAGAGCCCGATCTTAGCACAGGGGTAGTAAAGGGCATACTGAGGTGTTGGCCGATGACAAATTGTACCAAGGAGATTTTGTTGATCGGGGAGCTTGAGGATTTGGTGGAAGTTATGGAGGCTGAGGAGTTTGAGAAGGTTGCGGGGGTTTTGTGCTCACAGATTGCTAGGTGTTTGAACAGTTGCAATTCTCAGGTTAGTCTCTAGGCTATAGGGTTGTATTCTTAGATCTGATTGTTATTTCTTTTGTTTATAATTTGCTGAGAACTTGATTAATAATGCTGGATAGATGCATGTCTATGCAGAAATAGAGAATTTTTTAGGCTAGATGATACTTCAGCCTTCAGTAGATTTGGACATTTTAATTATTGCATACTTATAGGTTAATAAATGAGAGGATTAGTCTGTGAACTACTTGGTGATATATAGTTATGGGATGGATACAGTACGTTTCAACATGTTAGAGAAGTTCATGTTTACATATATAATTCTTATTAAACACAAAGCTAATTACCTTATGAGACTTACATATTTGAGCAGGTTATTAGACAGAGATACCTTTGGACAAGCAAAGTAGCATAAGAATATTATGAGTGTTAAAGTAAGAGAGAGAGAGTCTTGGGTAAAGTTTCCCTCGAGTTGAATATTGAGTGTGCACGTATATTTATACAAGTAGAGGATGGTGATGTGTGTTCTCACAACCAATGTGGGACTAAAAACCCACTACTACCACTATTATCAACACTGTTATCAACAGTCCCCCTCAAACTCATGTTGGATCAAACAAAGTGAGTTTGCGTACAAGAAACTAGAACCGATGAACAGGTAAGGCCTTTGTAAAGAAATCTGCAAGCTCGTCAGCGGATGACACATGAGGAAGTAGAATTGTCTTATCTTTGATAACTTGTTGACGGACAAAATGAGCGTCGATCTCAATGTGTTTGGTCCTCTCATGAAATACTGGACTATTAGCAATCTGGATGACACTCTTATTATCACAGTATAGAAGAGTAGGAGTCGAAACAGAAACTGAGAAGACGACGAAGATGAATAATCTCTTTAGGTGTTGTGGATATTGCACGATACTCTGCCTCGATGCTGGAAAGAGCAACAACATCTTGTTTCTTACTTTGCCAGAAAATTAGGGAATCACCAAGAAATATACAATAACCTGTGGTAGACTTTCTGGTAGTGGGATCACCAGCCCAATGAGCATCAAAATATACACAAAGCTCTAACTTGGATATAGCAGGAAACAGAAGAAAGCGAGTGCTAGTACCACGAAGATACCGAAGAATCCGTAATAAGGCAGCATAACGTACATGAACATAAGGTTTTCTTGATGAGGGTTTTGATCCCGCTGCATAAACAAAAGGGGATGTGTATGTATTATAGGGAGTTGTCTTATTGTGTAACGGAGTTTGTGCAGAAAGAGCCCGATCTTAGCACAGGGGTAGTAAAGGGCATACTGAGGTGTTGGCCGATGACAAATTGTACCAAGGAGATTTTGTTGATCGGGGAGCTTGAGGATTTGGTGGAAGTTATGGAGGCTGAGGAGTTTGAGAAGGTTGCGGGGGTTTTGTGCTCACAGATTGCTAGGTGTTTGAACAGTTGCAATTCTCAGGTTAGTCTCTAGGCTATAGGGTTGTATTCTTAGATCTGATTGTTATTTCTTTTGTTTATAATTTGCTGAGAACTTGATTAATAATGCTGGATAGATGCATGTCTATGCAGAAATAGAGAATTTTTTAGGCTAGATGATACTTCAGCCTTCAGTAGATTTGGACATTTTAATTATTGCATACTTATAGGTTAATAAATGAGAGGATTAGTCTGTGAACTACTTGGTGATATATAGTTATGGGATGGATACAGTACGTTTCAACATGTTAGAGAAGTTCATGTTTACATATATAATTCTTATTAAACACAAAGCTAATTACCTTATGAGACTTACATATTTGAGCAGGTTATTAGACAGAGATACCTTTGGACAAGCAAAGTAGCATAAGAATATTATGAGTGTTAAAGTAAGAGAGAGAGAGTCTTGGGTAAAGTTTCCCTCGAGTTGAATATTGAGTGTGCACGTATATTTATACAAGTAGAGGATGGTGATGTGTGTTCTCACAACCAATGTGGGACTAAAAACCCACTACTACCACTATTATCAACACTGTTATCAACAGTCCCCCTCAAACTCATGTTGGATCAAACAAAGTGAGTTTGCGTACAAGAAACTAGAACCGATGAACAGGTAAGGCCTTTGTAAAGAAATCTGCAAGCTCGTCAGCGGATGACACATGAGGAAGTAGAATTGTCTTATCTTTGATAACTTGTTGACGGACAAAATGAGCGTCGATCTCAATGTGTTTGGTCCTCTCATGAAATACTGGACTATTAGCAATCTGGATGACACTCTTATTATCACAGTATAGAAGAGTAGGAGTCGAAACAGAAACTGAGAAGACGACGAAGATGAATAATCTCTTTAGGTGTTGTGGATATTGCACGATACTCTGCCTCGATGCTGGAAAGAGCAACAACATCTTGTTTCTTACTTTGCCAGAAAATTAGGGAATCACCAAGAAATATACAATAACCTGTGGTAGACTTTCTGGTAGTGGGATCACCAGCCCAATGAGCATCAAAATATACACAAAGCTCTAACTTGGATATAGCAGGAAACAGAAGAAAGCGAGTGCTAGTACCACGAAGATACCGAAGAATCCGTAATAAGGCAGCATAACGTACATAACGTGGGGGCACTAACAAATTGATTGACAATGCCAACAGCATGAGAGATATCTGGTCGAGAGATGCACAGATAGACCAACTGACCAATAAGATGTCGATATCGGGTAGGATCAGATAGAGGCTCACCATCAGTAGAGCGAGGTTTGATATTCTGTTGAAGTGGAGTATCGATAATTGTATCGTTAGTTAGCTCAGCTCAATCTAGAATATCCGAGAGATACTTCTGTTTGGGTCAAAAGTTGATGTTTTCATTGTCATCGAATCTATTACAACTTTGGTCATTACAATAAACTCAAAATGAAAAGAAAAGTTGATCTTTTTATAAGATCTCCTTTATACAATGAAAATAAAGATTACAACTCTTGTCAAACAGCACAACAGACGTTTATCACCCGCTGTTTGCGTGAGAACTTTGCTTGTGCCGGGGACGTTAATATCTGTGGACCGCCACGGATCAGATCCGGTTGACAGATTGGTGATCAATGCTCTCGCTTCACGAAGGAAGTGATTACAGTAGTGGTGATTTTGACTAAGAAAAATCACGGCTCTTCTCGGGATTTAAGACCAAGCTTAAATCCAGAGGAATAGGGGACGTGTCTCGAATCTCTCAAACTCCACTCTTTATGCGCAGGAGATCGCCAAGATCTAGCTAACCCTCTCTGAAATTCGTGGCTATGTACTTGAGAAACCGGCAGCACCTCGCCCTCTTGATGTCCCGCTGAGAAATGAGCACCCGAGCTCGTATTTAGAAGCTTCGGAAGCGAGTATTTGGATAAGAACGAGGAATTCCTCCTTATCTTCAGTTAAGAACTGATTAACCATAGTATCAGATCAGTTGGGACGCTCAGGAATAAACAAGTCCTAAGAAAAACTGTCAAAACCAAAAAATCAACAAATCTGACCGAACTGTCACCTGGTGGCTCGGCCTGGCCGGGCCACCAAATGGTGGCTCGGCCTTGGTCGAGTCACCTTGCCCGACCAGATCGTTTTGACGCCAAATCATTTTGATGTGACTCGGCCGCCAGCGGCTTTTATTGGTTTTTCGGGTTTTGACTTGTTCCGTCGTTACGCGTATTTCATCGTTTTGTTGACTTATACGTCATTTTGGTGGTTGATGAGCGTGCGGGCTACCTGGTGGTAGCTGGTGAGCACGCGGGACACTTGGTTCGCCGATTTGGTGGCTGGTGAGAGTGCAGGCCACTTGGAGGTGGCCGGTGAGTGCACTGGCTATTCAGTTCGCTGTTTCGCTTCATATGTTCATCGGTATCGGATAATTCTCTTAGACTTAGATAATAGCGTTCATCACCTTCTTTCTGTCTCAAGCTGTGTGTGGATACCTATAGGCATTTTTAGACACCTACAGATACCCCCTCCAAAGTATTTCAGACTCATTCTTTTATAGAGAAGTCTGGGATGCTTTGGATATGATAGGCCCCCACCTTCAGTCGGTGTCAAAGGACATGTGAACTGCTTTAATTCTTGACTTCTTCAACCTTCAGTCTATTCAGTGTTTTGTCGAGTAGATGAAGTTCTTCCGGTGCTACATTTATCGTCTGACCGTTATCGAAATCTTGAATCGAAATTGGTGAGTTAGTTTTGGCTCGTGTCATTGAGTTAACTTTGAACTGATTATCTTCGTTGCAACGCGTTGACCGGCGTTAACATAGTTTATACTAGTACGTTTGCTGGAGCCTACACAGTTTAAGCTCTTAAGGCAATGGAGCGTGGTGATCCTAAATTTTAGACTGCAGGACCAACTATTAAAGTTATTTCGTCTGCAGATATGGATCTTATCCCGAAGTCATTGGATGCTCAAGTCACGAGACCAACTAATGAAGCTGATACGTCAATGACTCACATTTATAAAAAGTTTAGCAAATTCTCAGCCATCAACGGGTTTGATTAGCCTTTACCGATTACCGTTTGAGTCGGGCTAGCATGCAGATTGTTTAGACCCGTTCTGCACGTAACGTTGTGCTAAAAGAGTTAACTCTTTTAGTGTTACGATATTGAATACGTAGACTTCGTCTTTCTCACGGGAATAGACTACCCGGCAACGCGTGTTAGACGCTGACTTAGGATTTTTGGCAAATCCTCAGCCTTCAACGAATTTGACGTGCCTTTACCGATTACCGTTTGAATCGGGCTTGCATGCGGATTGTTTAAGTTCATTCCGCATGTAACGTTATGCTAACAAAGTTAACTCTTTTAGTACTACGATATTGAATACGTAGACTTCATCTTTCTCACGGGAATAGACTACCCTGCAATGCGTGTTAGGCGCTGACTTATCTCTACTTAGGCTTTGGGATAAAAGTCCCCAGACTCGAATTCTGGTGTCTTCTTCAAAAGGTGAAAGACTAAACCGGCAACGTGTGTTAGACGTTGACTTATCCCTTCTTAGGATTCGGGATAAAATTCCCCGTACGTGTGAGGCACGGATTTTGGTGTTATTAATAACAACCTACCACAATATCGAATATGTGGGCTGTTGTCCTTTTTACGGTAAAAGACTGGTCGGCAACGCGTGTTAGGCGTTGACTTATCCTTACTTAGGATTCGGTATAAAATTCCCCGTGCGTGTGAGGCACAGATTTTGGTGTTATTAATAACAACCTGCCATAAAATTGAATATGTGGGCTTTGTCCTTTTTACGGTAAAAGACTGACCGGCAACGCGTATTAGGCGTTGACTTATCCCTACTTAGGATTCGGGATAAAATTCCCCGTACGTGTGAGGCACGGATTTTGGTGTTATTAATAACAACCTGTCACAATATCGAATATGTGGGCTTTTGTCCTTTTTACGGTAAAAGACTGGTCGGCAACGCGTGTTAGGTGTTGACTTATCCCTACTTAGAATTCGGGATAAAATTCTCTGTGCATAAAAGGCATGGAATTTTATTGCTACGATACTAAATACGTAGACTCGGTCGTTTTTATGAGAACGAACCACCCAGCAGCACGGGTTAAGCGCTGACACATCCCTACTTAGGCTTCGGGATAAAATACCCCAGATTGGTATTCTGGTGTCTTTTTTACTCGGTAAAAGACTAAACCGGCAACACGTGTTAGGCGTTGATTTATCCCTACTCAGGATTCGGGATAAAATTCCCCGTGCGCGTGAGGCACGGATTTTAGGAGTTTGAAAAAGTGGTGTCTTCTCCTGGGGAAAAGACGAACCCGATACGGGAGAGGAAGAATTTTATATTCTATCTCCCAAAGCTAAAGAGGAAGAATTTCATATTCTATCTTCAGTTGCTAAAGGAAACTCAAAGTGGGATCTCCACTTCTAGAATCCGGGAAGGTGAAACTAAGAGCGGGATCTCCACTCTGAGAATCGAAAAGATTCGGATAATCCTAACTGTCGGAAGGTTTGATTACCGAACTAAAGGTGGGTTTCTCGTTTATCGAGAGTGAATTAGGGTTTTAGCCTTGACTGTAGGAAGGTTCGACCAAGCGGGAGTTTGAGGTGACCCTAACTATAGGAAGATTTGATCACTTGATTTGAAAGTGGACCTCTCGTTCATTGGTGGAATCGAGATGCGATTTTAGTTTTGGTCCTAACTGTAGGAAGGTTTGACCGAGTGGGAGGTTTGAGACGATCTTGACTATAGGAAGGTTTGATCGCTCAATCTGTGGGCCTCTCGTTCATTAGAGGAATCGAGAGGGTATTTTGGTTGTGGCCCTAACTGTAGGAAGGTTTGACCAGGTAGACAGTAGGAGTGGGAGTACAAATCATAGTGGGAGTGTTGACTTGTACCGATTACTCAATGGGGATTCTTGGTGTCAAGTGATAAGAACTTAACACGAATGGGTTTGATAATTCATCAATGATTAAGACATTAGAATTCCGAGCACCATGTCCAGA